GCGCTGGCGCCGGCGCGGGGGGGGGGGTTTGGACCCCCCCCCATCTCCCTCCGTTTGGGCCCTCTCTGGTCATCGTCGCTGCGTCCCCGCCGTCGGCGCTGCTGGCGGCCGCCAGCGCGGGCGCCGGCCGCGCTGGCGCCGACGGGGGGGGTTCGGGAGGGGGGGTTAGGGGGGAGGGGAGTCCCTGGGTTCTGATCGACGGCGCCGAGTGTTGGGGGGGGGCACCCCCCAGTTCTAAACGCGCCGCCGAATGCTCCGAAGGCAAGCGCCCGTGAACCGCGCTTTCTTATACATAAGGGTCCCTATACACCAGGGTAGGGATCCCGCAAAGGGGGTGTGTGTGCTCAAGGGGGTGTGAGAGTTCGATTGGTGTTTGCACCGCACCGCCCAAAACAGATGCCCCCCAGCCGCCGGCAGCTCCCGATGGTTGCCGAGTGGTGGGGCATGCGGGGGGCATGTGTTTGCTGCAGTTCGGTGCACCAGCGGATCGAACTCATGCCCCCCCTCAGGGTCACTCCACCGTCGGTGGACCCCGGCAGGATCCGCTGTCCTGGGCAAACTTCATTGCAGGGCCGGAATAGCGTCGGTGTATAGAGGTCAGCTCCCTATTTCTCGCACGCAGTTCTTCACAGCAGGTGCACCGGTCCTGCTCGAAGGGCCAGCGTGCTAAGCATATTTATCGCCAGTTTTCGCGCCGCCCTCCCGGGCGTGGACAGATGTGGATAGCTGCTCTTTGCGTTCTGCGTGCCCAGGTTCGCGACACGGTTTTGGCTGGCTCAGGACAGCGCTGAGCTCTCGGGTACTCTGTATACGGTTCGGTATTCTGTATTCTGTCGCTCAGGCTCAGAACACCGCTCAGGACAGTGCTGAGCTCAGACAGAATGCCGACCCGAGAGCTCAGCGCGGACCTCTGGTTGGCGCACCCCGCATCGAAGGACGGCAACGGCATGCGGGCATTGCTGTTGACGAAGCAGCAGCCTAAAGATAAAACATTCTGAGGTCCGCAGGGGTTCCTGGGGACGACGCTAACTTCTCCTCACCGACGCCCCTGGCGGCGCCTCTGGCGCCGCGCCTGGCGCGCTCCGCGCTCCGGCAGAGGGGTAAGCGTCGATCCAAGAAACGCGCGCGGATCTCCGATGACATTTCTCTTGTTATAGTTTACACCTCGGACGAAGCTGGGACGATAATAAAACCGTTCCAGAGCGTTCTGGAACGCTCGCGGAGCGTTCATGAACGCTCTGAGAAGGCCGCGGCGCCCGATACATCCTCCAGATCCGCCAGATCTCTGAGATTTTCCATTCATCTTCACCCGATGTTATCCTCGTCCTGGCTTCGTCTTTGCGTCGGTACTGGATCCAGGATCTGTGTATATGCTTATCTGGCCAGGCCAGGCCAGGAGGGTGTTTGCACAGATCTGGAGCCCAGGATGGGCCTTGCCAGGATCGGTGTAGGTGAACGGCTTTGGGGTCCCTCACAGGAGAGGCAAGACGAGCAGGGCGAGGAGTCTCAGCAGCGTTGAACCGACCCCTATCCCCATCCAGACCCCCACCATCTCAGCACCCCAGTTAGGGACACCCCCTTCGAAACCCGAATGAGACGGCCTACACGTCCATCTAGGGGGGTAAATAGGCCCAGGCCACGCCCATGGGAGCAGGGGTCGGCCAGACGATGCTCAGAGGAGGAGGCGGCGGCGGCGCAGCAGGAGTCGCCCGAGGCGCAGGCGCAGGCGACGACGAGGAGCTCTTCCGCGACGTCGCCGTCCTCCCTCGTCGAATTCTTCGGAGGCGCTGGCGAGGACGGGAAGGTCCCAAAGCCTGCCGCGCTCGAGGGCTCCACCCAGTTCTCCATCCAGAGCCTGGAGCGATTGTGAGGTCCCCGTGCAGACCCCAGCCCTGGTGGCCGCGAGAACCCATGCCCCAGCATGCTCGAGGATCCCCGTCGAGGAGGAGGAGGAGGAGGAGGAGGCGGAGGAGGAGGAGGAGGCGGAGGAGGAGGAGGAGGAGGAGGAGGGAGGAGGAGGAGGAGGAGGAGGAGGAGAGGAGGGGGAGGGGGAGGAGGAGGAGGAGGAGGCGGGAGGAGGGGGAGGAGGAGGAGGAGGAGGAGGAGGAGGAGGAGGAGGAGGAGGAGGAGGAGGAGGGAGGAGAAGGAGGCGGAGGCGGAGGAGGAGGAGGAGGAGGAGGAGGAGGAGGAGGAGGAGGAGGAGGAGGAGGAGGAGGAGGAGGAGGGAGGAGGGGGAGGAATAACTCCCACGAGCCTCGGAATTCTATTGCGGCAGCGTCCGCTTTTGAACATGCAACTTTTTTTGTCCCAAGGGCATCTGCGCTGGCCCCGCATTGGCATCGGCACATTGGCCCTGCACTGGCGCGCACCATGGGCGCCAGCACTGACATGACGGAGGAGGGCTTAGGATTTGTTGGGACGGGGGGAGGAGCAGCGGCAATGATGGGGAATCGCATGGCCTTTGCTTGTCTTCGGTGGGTTCTTTTAGCTTGATCGAGTGCCCGTGTGAGGACACCAACGTTCAGCCTGGACTGACAGGATAAGGCAGGCCGTGTAGCGCATTCACATATCTCGCAGTGACCCTCGGTAAGGGCCTTGATGATGCGTTGGATGGGTGTGTTGGGAGTTGTGGGTCTGAACAAGAGATTGTTGGAGGCGGTGGAGAGGGATGGCACATCGCACTCAGTATGTTTCTGCCCTCGGTGAGGGTTAGAACTGCCCTCGGTGAGGGCCCTTGTCACGGGAGGAATCGGATTATGCAGTTGGGCCGGGTGGGAGGGGCTTATTCTGCCGACGCCTACAGATCTGATACTCTATGCTCTCCGGGCTTCTCCACTATTCTGTGTTTCTTCGCACCTCCTGCGCTGCGTAGTTTGCATTCGGGTGACTCTGCGGATTTCCGATCTGATCGTGCCCTTTCTGACGTCCAGCAGAGAAGAACGCAACAGCCTCGGCGCTCATGTTTGCCTAAGATGGGAGGAGGACGAGGACCCGCGGCGGCCTTCGAGACGAGTGCTGCGCAGCATCCGCGCGGATCAGTGGCCAGCGGGGCACCCAAGCAGGAACATAGGACGTGTGAACCACTCGTGGCAGCAGGCACGTTCACAGGCACGCCGTGCTCGGTTTTCGGAGCGGAGGCCGTTGCCCTGGACGAGGCTAACTTTCTTGCAGCTGCACTGACAGCCGAAACTTTGGCTCCTCGAGCTGCGGAGCTGCAAGAGGAGAGGACGACGAGGGGGGCATCGTCGTCGTCGTCGTTGACCCCCCCCCCCCGCTGCTGCTGCTCGACGCCTCGTGCCCCACGCCGCCGCTGACACACAACAACAGTTCGTCGTCGTCGTCGTCGTCGTCGTCGTCGTCGTCGTCGGTGAGCCTCCCCCCTCGCGAGGACGCCGAGGAGGCGACGCGGCCGGCGCCGCAGCTGCCGGCCGCGTGGGCGGACGGCTCCCCGCGGGCAGCAGACGCCGCTGGCCCCGCCGACGCCGCAGGCCCGATCGAGCCGGAGGGGCCCGGCACCCCCGAGAGTGCGCCGTCGGCCGAGGCGACCGCCCGCTCTGTCGGCCTCGCCCTGGCAGACCCCCTCCCAGACCCCTTCGCTTTGCGAAAAAATCACGAGGGGAGGTTTTCTGTGTTTTCGGCCTCCCAGGGCCCTTACCGGGCCTCGGGACCGTCAAAAAACGACTCAGGACGAGTAACCGGTCCTAGGGAAGGGGTCCAGATCTCTGGGGGTCGACGTTGTAAAAAAATCACGACGTCGGGGGTCTGGGCTCGGGTCATGGCAAAAATCACGACGGAAGTTTGTGGTCGCTGGCTTCCGCCTCTGGGGGCCCTTGCCGGGCCTCGGGGCCGCAACAAAAACGGCCCAGGATGAGGAATCTGGTCCCAGGGAGTGGGTCGAGGCTTCTGGGGGTCGACGTCATGAAGGGATCGTGACGTCGGGGGTCTGGGAGTGGGTACAACCGACGGTCCGCTGGCCGGCTACAATTGTTTTTTTTGGGGGGTCAAATGCAGGTTTCCAGCTTGTGTCCTTCCGATTTCTTGTGATTTTCAATCGGAGCGTGTTTCCGGTGGTGCCTCAGAACGGTGCTGCCGCCCCAGCGCGGGCCACTTCTCTGGACCCGAGTGCTTCTTCGAAGTTGTCGCCCCGCTCCATTCACGTCCCCCGCCTTCCCCTGGTTCTCCTGCTCCTCTCGCTCCTCCCGCTCCAGCTCTTGCCTCTTGCCTAGCTGCGCGCCAAGCTCCCCTGACAGGTGGCGCTATAGAGCTGGACTAAAGCTCTGGAAAGACTACTGCTCGTGGGGGGCCACCATCTTCTGGCTGGGGCCACTGCTTGTAGTCTTTGGGGAGTTCCCCTCGTTCGAGGGCCTCAATGGTTCTCTTGCCGTGGGTAGACAAGGCACACCTTTGCGAGCACGTCTGGCTCAACTTCTGGAAAGACACTGACCCCGCCCCTCCACAAGATCTGCACCAATAAATACCCCTGTAGTGCATGAGCTGGTGGGATCCATGGAGCTGGGCGGGAAACCCCCTGCACTGTTGGCTCAACCAAACGGGTCGAGGGCAGTCAGAGGAGGGCGAAGAGAGGCAGCGGGCACAACGGAGCCTGCCTCGAGCATCGCGTTGAACTGCGTGGGCTGACGACTCGACGGCGGCCTGGGACGACTCCCGCCGCCCTTGGGCCCTACGCTTGGCCTCGTGCTGCCTGTCGGTCTTGGCGCTGGCTCCGTAGATCTCGGGAGCCTGGCGCGCAACATGATCCGCGACTGCCAGCAGGTGCGCCTGAACGCTCGCCGCAAGATCATAAATTCTAAACATTTCTGTCATGTCCTGGCAGTTGGGCTGCTCTCGCTCCCTCTTCAGCACACATGTCGGCAATCCGATTGGCGAGCCAACTAGCTGGGGGAACCTGGGCGCTTGCTGCCTGCTCAGGGGACTGGTGAGAAGTGATTTTCTCAACCGAAACTTCACGGCCCTGGGCCAAATTCCAAAAGGTACTCCAGAGCCTCTGATTTGTTAAATGCTGTCCGCTGGGGCCTTTGCGGATCCCGTCCACTATATTCTGGGCGTCAATGACAAAATGCATTGGGTCTCTCGTTCTTTCAAGGGCCTCTACTGCTGCAAACAACTCAGCTATCGGAACTGACTGCTTCCAATAGTCTACTGGCCCAAACGCCCATGCTACGACTTCCCACCCTCTGAGGATGGAAAAACCCCACCCGCACCGACGGACCCGAACATCTGCCTGGTATTTGCCTCCAGAGCCGTCGGTGGCAACGATGGTGGTGTGGTCCAAAGGCACTACTGCCTGCTGGGCTAATTCTCCCCCTACTTGCGGCTGCCCCTGGATCGGGCGGGTCGCGAACGGGTACACCCACAGGACAGGCATTAGCCCACGGAGCCAAAAACAGGGGTGGTCCTGGACCCCCTCCTTAGCTTGGCTGGCAAGCTCTCCATGCAGCCCCTCCAGGGCCGCATTACCTGGGCACTCCCAGAACTGATGGAAAAGCGTTTCCTGTTCGGCTCCGCACCTTGGGCAAGCAGGGCTGGTCCATGTGGGGCGGCGGGGACGACTGACGACCTCAGACCCTTTCTCCAGGGGCTCCAAAAGCTCCTCTGGGGGCTCTGGCCACGCCTGCTCATCCTCCCACTGGGCCTGCTCTAACATCTGCTCGAAAGAGAAACATCCGTCCTTATCTCTCTCCTGCCCCTCCTCCCTGGCCTGCACAACGTCCGTGGCTGGCGGGCCTGGGATGCCCAACTCCTGCGCCTCCGCTGGCTCTGGTGGTTGGGCTCTGGGGGCTGGGGACGAACTGAGAACTTTCTGAGGATGGCGCGTTGCCTCATCCCCAAACCTGCGACTGGCTGGTCACAAAGCTCCAGCCATGACCATCCGAAACACTCCGAGCTGGTCGTACTTGCCTTCCTTGCGGAGCTGTCTCATGCGGCATTTATCAGTGTACAAATCGGGGCGGTGCTCCAGGCCCTTGCCATGGTAATGCTTGGCGGCTGTCAACCATGCTTGTTGATCCAGAGCCCATAGAGCTCAAAGTCAACAATTCGCTCTGGGTCATCAAGCTCAAGGTTGAGGTGGTCGCCGTCCTGGTTGACCCATTCCCACGGCGAGACCGACGAGAAACCTAGATCCTGCAGGGCTGCTACCGCGGCCGATAGAGTCCCTTTTACTCGATACCAGCGCGATTGGGAATATTCCAAACTCGTTCACGCTTTGCGCCAGGCGATCTGTACCGCTGAGCGCCGATCTCTAAGCAGCTCTGGAAGCATGGCTATCCACACCCGAAAACGCCGCAGTCTTCCAAAACCAGCGGGTCCTGGTGAGCCGAGGGGAAGGACGTTTGAATCGTGGTCGTCGCACATCCTCCTTCCTTTCGGTCAACCATTCCGCTGACTTGGGCTCTCATCTTTAAAAACTGTGACGGGGCAATGCCTTGGCCCTCAAGGCCCCAGGAGGCTTGGGAGAGGTAGCCCGTCTTGACTAGCGCCACTCCCAATCTAGATGTTTTAGCAATGCGTTTGATCATTTGCCCTCGGTCGTGGCTGGCCTGCCTTATCTTTTTGCCTGTGCCGACACTCCTCCGATGCGAGGTGCCATCGATCCCGAGGTCCTTAACACATTGACTGTGTTTCAAATATATCCTGGCTTCCTAAAGCCTGGTCCTGATGGTCGCCGCAACCCTGGGAGGATTCGAGACCACCTTGCTTTTCTCCGAGATGGTGGGCCCCAGGGGCGCAGCGCTGAACAAAAAAACTTCACTGCTGCTGTCGTGGCTTCAACTACAACGCTATCTTTACCGATGGCAGACTGAGTTATGCCATCTATCCAGCTCTGGACTTCAACTGGCCGAAAAGAGGCTTGCATCTCACTGAGCATCTGCCACAAAGCAAGGCGCGAAATGTCGACACTCTGAGAGCACCCTGCTAAAATGCCCTTGAAAGCCTGCGGGGGATCCGAGACCACCACATTTCCTTGGCACCCACGGGGTCCAAAGTGGAGGCTGAGGGCGAGGAGCAGGTGGGTAAGGGGGTTCAGGATCTAGGGCGTCGTAGACTTTCTCCAAATCCCACAACACCTCGCGCCAGGAGAAACCCTGCACAGAAGCGGCCTCTAGTTTTGTCTGCCTGAGGAGGGCCGCTCTTGAACAGCTCGATCCCGCTACTGCTTTGTCCCAGACCTGCACATGCTTTTCTGACCATTCTGCTACGTGCCATCTGCGAATGCGCGACCACACTCTGTATGGCGCTTGTGTTAAAGTTATTGGCCTGTCTGCCTCAGCTGTCTTATACCTTAGCTGCGCTATGTTGACTAAAATCTGCACTGGCCAGCATAGGTTTCTTTCCACGAGGTTTAGGAGGAAAGTAAGGTGAAGGAGGCCTTCCTGCGGGAGTTGTCGCCACCAGCGGGGGTTGGTGCGATCCGCTCCCATTCCTATGACTGGCCTAAAACATTTGAGTCCCTCAATTACCTCGTCGCATGTTATGGGTTCCAGGGTCAGGCTATGCTTCTTGGTGGCTCGGCGGAAATCCTTCCACCAAGCCTGCTCTTGCGGCGGCCCTTTCCCCTTCCCCCAAAAATTAAGCCAGTACTCTCCTTTTGCTCTAATATTCTTGAGCGGATCCGAAATGCTGTGACCGCTCTGGTCTTGAATCCTGGACAGTTCCCGCTCTGGGGTCCCCCAAAGCTTGGTGTGGCGGTGAACCGCTCCTGCTCCTTTCTTTAAACTGGCCTGCGCCCAATCCTTAAAACAGCGAGAGCTCTCATGGAGGAAATGGGACTCAAGGCGACGCACAGCTTCGTCGACCCTCTGGGACCAAACCTTCAGCTGCGCCTCCCCGTGGCCCCCGAGGATGCCCAAGTCCCCATGGAGCTTGCTAATTAGGTGCTTGTCCGACTCATCTTTTAAATCTGCTGGCCGCGTGCGCAGGTCTCCTACTATGATCGTGATCGCCTCCACCGCCCCCGCCACTAAACTAGACCCCCCCCCTCCTCCTCAGGCCTAGCAGGGCGTGAAGACGCGCCTGCAGGGTGTGTTCGTGCCAAAGTAGGGGGCTGCACGCGAACGCAACAACTGGGGCCTCCGGTGGAACTTTTTATGGGGCCACGAAGCGTGTGAGGTTGCCGAATGGGGATGGCAGGGGCAAAGACGGGAAGAGGGAGCAAGGAGAAGCGGAAGCAGCGGGAGGAGGAGGAGGAGGAGGAGGAGGAGGAGGAGAAAACAGGACGCGGGGCACCGTCTCGTCAAAACGAGGACCCAACTCAACACAGGATGGTTGGGAAACATCGACTGTTGCTGGTGTTTCAATCTGGTGTTCCCGCTGCCGCGTGGGCCCTACTTTCGGACTGGCGCTGTGCCTCGTCGTTGAGAGTGGTGCGTTTGCCCCAGCGCGGGCCACTTATTTGAATGCGAGACATGTTTTTCATTGTCGCCCAGTTCATTTCCCCTCCTCCGCCTTCCCCTGGTCCTCCTGCTCCTCCCGTTCCTTTCGCTCCAGCTCCTGCTGCTATTGTTCGGAGTCGTCCTCCTCTTTCCTCCTCCTCTTTCTCCTCCTCCTGTTCCTCCTGCTCATTCTCCTGCTCATCCACCATTTCCTCGTCCAATTTACGCAGCTTCCCACACCTGGTCGGCCGACCGCATGGGAGGCCCAAGTACCGTGCCTGCTATTTCATCGCGACGATCCTGGGGTTCTGAGACAACACAGTCTTAGCGCGAACGGGCCTGTGGAACACCCCTGCTGGGTCGTCGTCGTCGTCGTCGTCGTCGTCGTCGTCGTCGTCGTCGTCGTCTACTACAGCGGGACTCGCAGCGCAGTGCCCGTTATCTGGGGTATCCGCAGTGCGTCGTCGTCCCTCGTCGTCGTCCTCGTCGTCGTCTTCGTCGTCGTCGTCGTCTGCGTCGTCGTCGTCGACGACGACGGCGACGACTACAGCAGGCATACGACCCGCCCCACCCCATGGAGCATCCGCGGTGCGTCGTCGTCCGCCGTCGCCGTCGCCGTCGCCGTCGCCGTCGCCGTCGCCGTCGCCGTCGCCGCCGCCGCCGCCGCCGCCGCCGCCGCCGCCGTCGTCGTCGTCGTCGTCGTCGTCGTCGTCGTCGTCGTCGTCGTCGTCGTCGTCGTCGTCGTCGTCGTCAGCGTGGTCGTCGTCGTCGTCGTCCTCGTCGTCGTCGTCGTCGCTGTCGCTGTCGCTGTCGTCGTCGTCGTCGTCGTCGTCGTCGTCGTCGTCGTCGTCGTCGTAGGACATTGAAGTGGAGGGGGGGAGGGGGAGGGAGAAGAAACAGTAGAGAAAAAGAAGGCGGGCACCTCTGGCGGGCGGCGCCGAAATCGCCACACAAATAAAGGAGGGAAGAGGAATTGGGGGAGCGGCACGGGCAGGCGGGAAGGGCTCCTCCTCCTCCTCCTCCTCCTTTTGTCCCCGCCTCCCACCCCCCTCCATTACAACGTCCTGCGACGACGGCGACGGCGACGGCGATAGCGACGGCGACGGCGACGGCGACAGCGGCGGCGACGACGACGGCGGCGGCGGCGGCGCGTGCGCTGCGGGCCGAGGTGACCCTGCTGCTGGAGGACCCGGAGGACGAGGAACGGCGTGCCCGCTCGCCGCGCCGGGCGCGGAGCGGTGCCCCCGAGCTCGAGGGCCGCCGCCGCGGGGAAGGCAAGCCGCCCCCGCCAGCGGCGTTGTTGCCGCCCTGGCGGCGGCCCGCCGCGGCCGTGCTGCTGGGCTCCGTCGTCGCCGTGGGCGCCGTGGTCGCGTTCGCGTCGGTGGGCCCCGGCCCCGCGGCCGCGGTGCGGCCCGCAGGGGCTCCCGCCCGGGCGCTCGCTCGCGACGGGGCCGTGGTCGTGGCCAGGAGCCTCGGCCCCTTCGGTCTGCTGCCCACCACCACCTCGACGGCCTCGGCTTCCGCCACAGTGACCGCCACCACCTCCTCGCGGACCTCCTCGGAGACCTCCTCCGAGACCTCCTCGGCGACCTCGTCCAGCTCCGCGGTCACCACTTCGCAGACCTATTCGCAGACCTCCTCCGCCACCTCCAGATCAACGACCATGGCAACTACCAGAACATCGACGTGGACGACGACGACCACGTCAAGCCAGACGACGCCCACGACGTCGACCCGGACGATCACCCGCACGACCACTCCGACCACCAGAACCACCACAAAAACGATCACCCGGACCACTTCCTCAACGACCTCCCGAACGACCCGAACGACTCGAACGACCACCCGAACGAGCACGACGCCACGACGCCCGCTCGCCGGCAACGGCACCGCCTCTGGCAACCGCACCGTCGCACACCACAACCTGCCTGGCCATCACGGGTCCGCTGCCGGGGGGAAGACGGCGACGCCCGCAGCCGCCAGGGACCTCATGGGCGGCCCCTCTGCCCCGCAGCTCCCGGCGGCCGGGCACCTCGCCGTGCCAGTGTCCCAGCCCGTGGCGCGCCTGGTGGCGGGCAGCGCCGCTGGCGACACTGTGCTGCAGGTGGACGATTCCGCCGGCTTCTCGGTCGGGGACGAGATCGAGATCTCGGGCCTCGGCGCTTCCGAGCGCAGGATCGTCCTGGGCTTCGGCACGATCTTCGTCGACAGGCCCCTGGAGAACAACTACCCCACGAGCTCCACCGTGACGCGGACCCGTGGCGCCGAGGAGCTGCGCCAGCTCGTGCAGCAGGAGCAGGAAGCTCAATCGGGTTCCCGCCCCACCCGCTTCCAGCGCCCTCTGGGCGTTGCAGCCCTGACCAGGAAATCGCGCCCCGCGTCCTCTTGCTCGCTTCGCGCGCGGCGAGGTGCGTCGCCACGATGCTGCGCGCACGCTAATTACCAGGGCCTCCAGGGCGGCGCGGTCACGACGATGGCGACGATAGTGATGGTAAACGCATGATGCTGATGATGCTGACGCCGTTGATGACGTTGGTGATGATGACGATGACCATGACGATGATGCCTAGGACGGTAGGGGGGGGGTCCATAGCGTGGGCCCGTTCGATTAGCCCCACAGGGCTGGCCATGACCCCCCCCGAGTGTTGGCGACTTCCTTGACGACGCGTCGACCGCGCCGCGCCGACGAAGCCTTCCCTAGCGAGGCGCGCGTGAGGCGAGCGTGCAGCGCGAGGCATCCCTCGGCCTGCCGACTCCTGGCCGGCCTCGACCGGTCGCCCCCCGCACGAGGGCCACGCCGCTCCGCTGCGCGCCCGCACCGCCCTCCCGGCTCAGCTCTCCCCCTCGCTTCGGGCACCCTCGCCGGGTGCCGAGGGTGTGTGTGTGTGTGGCAAGGGGCACAGCGGCACGAGCACAGGAACGCGGACGTCCGCGCGGACTTCTCGCATCGGCGTTGGGCCCCCCTCCTTGGCGCGCGGAGCGCGCCGGCGCCGCCAAGGGGGCTCAGCGCCGATCCGGGAAATCCGCGTGGACCTCCGAGTTTTTATGGTTATGTCATTGCTCGTTCCCCTAGGTAAGTCGGGCATGTCCCTCTACAGGAGGGATGCTCAAGAATGGTCGAAAATAGTCAGGGGACGACTGTTCGTGCTCTTTGGACTATTTTCGGATATTTGTTTGTCTTTTTGGGGGGGCTCTCCCCCAAAATCCGCCTGGTAGGAGGACATGGCCGACCTAATGCTGGGGTCGGGAGACTGGCCGTCTGCACTGGGCTCCCCGGGGAGCCCGACCCCACTCCCACGGCCAGCAGAGGAGTTCGGCGGCAGATCATTGGAGCCTCGTCTTCGGTCGCTGCGTAATGGTGGGGGCGATAAATGTGGGAGGGGGGGCACGGACGGTGCAGGTTTCTCCCGCCCTCCCTTTTATCGCCTGTCATCAGACAGCTCCCAATGTCTGTCCTTAGCGTGCGCTAGCGTCTGGCAGTCGACGGGAAATCAATCGCCGATGCAGCGTCGATTTAGCGTCGATTTGGCGTCGATTTAGTGTCGATTAGCGTCGATTAGCGTCGATCCGCATCGGTCAGCGTCGATACGCGGGAGCCAGCAAGATGGTATCGTAGGCTTCCATGAGTTGCCGCCGAAGAGAAGGGTCAGCCACGCGCAGAGGGTGTGGGGGGAGGGGGGAGGGCTTCTCAGAGGCACCCCTGCTTCTCAGAAGGCGCGCGGGCCCTCTCTCTAGATGCAAGGCCGGTGCCTTCTACTTCAGAAGCAGCCTCCTTCTAAGAAGCCCTCCGCCCTCCCTCCACCCCCTTGTGCGCGCCGCCGGAAGGGAGCCATTTCCATGGACGCGAAGACGCGGGACGCGATCATCGGCGGCGTCGTCGGCGGCTCAGTGGGCGTGGCCGGCCTCGTCGCGGGCCTGGCTGCTGGGCTCACCGCGCACGGCGATGCGGGGTGGACTCAAGGAGGGGACTTGCGCAGCTGGGGAGGCTGCGACCCCAAGTAATCCATCTGTATTGGGGCGTCGGGAACTGGCCGTTCTGCGACGGTGACTTTCTGATGGTGCATCGGCGATGCATCGGGGATGCCAGATCGATGCGCTTCTCCCTCGGCCGTCCCATACTCAAGGGGGGAAAGACCACCCGGACCCGATCACTGGCGTTTACTAATCGGCCCTGGGCGTTTACCAGACTAGACAGCCCTGCCCTGTACGATTCCTTCTTTGGCTGCGTTTACTGAACGGCTTCGCGTGTCGGGGTGATTCTTATGGTGGATTTTCTGTTCTCTACATGCACTTCTGCCCGCGAAACCTCCTCCTCAGGCAAGACCAGCGCCATCGCCACTCTGACCACCACGCTGACATCGCCGCCGGCCTGGGCGACGCTGACGTCCACCACGCAGGGCGCGGTGGTCCTTCTCGGGGACGCTGCCGCGAGGCCGCGCCAGGCCCTGGACGTGCGCGCGGTTTCGGCCAGCGGCCCCTCCGCGGCCCCCGCGGCCGCCCTGGAGCCAGGCCAGCTGCCCTGGACGTGGCTGGGCATCGGCGCGGCGCTCGTCGTCGTCCTCTCGTGCGTGCTGCTCTGCTGCCTCCGCCGGAAGGGGCCGTGCCAGGGGCAACGATGGCATCTGGGCCTCCGGGATGGGGTCGGAGCAGTCGCCGACGCACCGGCGATGCGGCTCGATGTGGAGCCCGAGTTTCTCCGCGCCGGCGTCGCCGATGCATCGCCGACGTCGCCGATGCATCGCCGATGCATTGGCAATGCGGTGCAATCCTCCGACCATATCTACTCGGAACCTATCTAGGAGGCCTCTAGATAGGCAGTGGAGACGTAAGACTCGAGTGCGCGGGAACTCGGGTTTGCCGACGCTCTTTGACGAGCGCGTTCAGGGATTCTGACGGTCCAGTTTCCGTGGGACGCTCGCAGCGGGAGCCCGCGCCAGATGTCGGACCGGGTCTCGTCATTTTCGTGATGGCCACGTCCGGCCGTCCCTCCCCGAGCCCGAGTCTCTTTTTTCCCCGAGAGAGGCAATGATGGGCCTGTTTTCCACCACCATCACCATAAGTTGGAGGGGGAGGCGGTCCTCCTCCTCCTCCTCCTCCTCCTCCTCCTCCTCCTCCTTCCCCCATTCAACTGATGGTGGTGGTGGTGGTGGAAAACAGGTCCATCAGGCAAGGGGGGAGGGAACGTCGGGCTGAGGTCGGCAACACGTCGCCAACGGACCGGCGATAGACCCCCGACGCAGCGAAGCCGCACCTCCCTGGGCGGGGTGGGCCATCGGGTCCCTGGAGGCGACGCATCGCCGATCTCGGCTCGGCGCTTCCCCTGAGCCTGCCCCCCCTGTGACGAAGACGACGACCACGAAGACGACGCCGATGACGACGACGACGACGAAGGAGGAGGATGATGATGATGAGGAGGAGGAGGAGGAGGAGGAGGAGGAGGAGGAGGAGGAGGAGGAGGAGGAGGAGGAGGAGAGAGGACGAACATAATGTCGTTGTCGCTCAGGCTGGCAGGCTCCGCGCAGGGGCGCTGCCGCAAGCAGGCGAGGTCGAGGGCGGTGGCGCCGCTGTCCCCGGAGGGCGCCTCCCACAGGTCCAGCCTTCTCCTCCTGCTCCTCCTTCCACGGGCCTCCTCCTCCTCCTCCTCCTCCTTCCACGGGTCCCCTCCTCCTCCTCCTCCTCCTCCTCCTCCTCCTCCTCCTCTTCCTCCTCATTCTCCCCTTCCTCCTCCTCCTCTCACAGGTCCAGCCCCGGGCCTCCCGCGCCGCCGCCGCCGGGCCTGGGCCAGGAGGGCCTGGACGACGGCCGCGCGGGCGAGGCCCGCCAACAGAGTACCGGCAGGGAGGACAGCCGCGGCGGCGCTCGCAAGGCCTGGGACAGGCTGCCTCGGGGCTCGTTTCGACTCCTCCGATCAGTATCGTTTAAACGATCCCCATACCCATCCCCATCCCCTTCGAGACTCCCACCAAATTACCACCCCAGTTGGGGATATACCCCTCGAAACCCGAAGGGAGCGACCTATATCTCTATCTAGGTGGGAAATCGGCCAGTGGGACCAGGCCACGCCGCTGGGGATGGGGATCGATTAAACGATACTCATCCGATTCGATTCGATGTCGATGGCTTCCGATGCCGATTCGATTCGACCTGTGATTCCGATGCTTGAGTTCCGACTTCTTAAGCTGGGCGCATGCTGGTCCTCCGATTTCCACTGGTTCGGCTTTTCCCGACTCGGCCGCCGATTTCCGCCGATGCGATTCACTTCGATCGCCGATCCGACTCATCGATTCGATTCTGGGCTCTCTTGCAGGCTTTTCGAGATACTGGACCACGACGGCGATGGGCGCATTACGCAGGAGGACTTCGCTCGCGCGCCGATCGCGGCCGTCGCTGTGGCGTCCGCGCTGGAGGGAAGGCAGCCGCTCGCGGCACGGCCCGCAGCGGCAGCCCCTTGGCAGCAGCAGTCCTTCGGCAGTTCCCAGCCGCATCAGCAGTCCTTCGGCAGCGTCGCCTTCTACGGGCGACTCGAAACGTATAATATCCCAGCCCACCTTGACGAGGAATACATGTGTACATGTATGTATGCATGCATGCATGCATGCCTGCCTGCCTGCCTGCCTGCCTGCCTGCCTGTCTGTCTGTCTGCCTGTCTGTCTGTCTGTCTGTCTGTCTGTCCGTCCGTCCGTCTGTCTGTCTGTATGTATGTATGTTTGTATGCATGTGTGTATATATATATATAGATCAGAGAATGGATGGATTCGGTTTGTGTTCGGGATTCGGTTTTCTGCTATTCATGGGGCCAAGGAGGCCAGGCGGACAGCGACGACGACGACGAGGGCGACGAGGACGAGGGGGAGAAGGTTGAAGACGACGACGAGGGGCGGAGGGCCAGCACCCCCATCCGTTCTATCGGCCCAAGCTGAGAGCAAGGGGAGAAGGAAAAAACGCATCGGAGTCACACTGGAGCCATTTTGACACAATCTTGGGGTCAACTAGGGTGTAAAGGGGTCAGCTTGGGGCAATCTCGAAGTCTTCTCGGACTCATGGGGTCTTTCTAGGGCCACCTCGGAGTAAAATCGGGTTCGCGCGGTAGCCTTGGTTCAGTCGGAAGACAATGGATTCGTCTCGGTGTTATTTTGGGGCCGCAGGGTTGCTCTGGGGTCATACATCGCCGCTCCGAAAGTTTCTTGAAATTTCTGAGTTGGGCCCGATTGCATTGTGTGCTCGCCTGCGTTGCACCCCTCTTGGCAACGGCCCCGACAGGGTTGAGGGGCAGGATGCGTTGAGCTCCCCTCCCCCACTAGAAGCCTAGCAAGATAGGCCTCTTGCGTGGTCTCGGCGGGATCCTTTGCGAGTAGTTCCCCTTTTCATTTTGTTTTAGTCCAGCCAACCATAAATCCCACCCATACAAAATAGGGTCTGGATAAATCCCGCGGTGGGACCCAATCCATCCGCCGACCCTGTCGGCGTGTGTGAGGGGCTTTTCCGTTCGAGCCGTCATCTCCGTCATTCTTTGTACTCGTCGTCTCTGTCCTTCCCTTTCCCTGGGAGACCTCTTCCCCTGGGCTCCAGCCAAGCCGACCTTGAGCAACCTCGTAATTGAGTCGAAGGGAAGCCCCTTCCCTTTGATCCCTCCCCCGCCGGGAGGGGGGGGGGGGGGTAGCGACCCCCCCCCGGGTCAGATACGACGCCCCCCCCTGGGACTCCTCTTCCCCTGGGCTCCAGCCAAGCCGACCTTGAGCAACCCCTGGGCTCCAGCCAAGCCGACCTTGAGCAACCTCGTAATTGAGTCGAAGGGAAGCCCCTTCCCTTTGATCCCTCCCCCGCCGGGAGGGGGGGGGGGGTGTCGACCCCCCCCCCGGGTCAGATACGACGCCCCCCCCTGGGACTCCTCTTCCCCTGGGCTCCAGCCAAGCCGACCTTGAGCAACCTCGTAATTGAGTCGAAGGGAAGCCCCTTCCCTTTGATCCCTCCCCCGCCGGGAGGGGGGGGGGGGTGTCGACCCCCCCCCCGGGTCAGATACGACGCCCCCCCCTGGGACTCCTCTTCCCCTGGGCTCCAGCCAAGCCGACCTTGAGCAACCTCGTAATTGAGTCGAAGGGAAGCCCCTTCCCTTTGATCCCTCCCCCGCCGGGAGGGGGGGGGGGGTGTCGACCCCCCCCCCGGGTCAGATACGACGCCCCCCCTGGGACTCCTCTTCCCCTGGGCTCCAGCCAAGCCGACCTTGAGCAACCTCGTAATTGAGTCGAAGGGAAGCCCCTTCCCTTTGATCCCTCCCCCGCCGGGAGGGTTGGGGGGGGTGTCGACCCCCCCCCCGGGTCAGATACGACGCCCCCCCTGGGACTCCTCTTCCCTGGGCTCCAGCTGAGCAACCTCGTAATTGAGTCGAAGGGAAGCCCTTCCCTTTGATCCCTCCCCGCCGGGAGGGGGGGGGGGGGCGACCCCCCCCGGGTCAGATACGACCCCCCCCTGGGACTCCTCTTCCCCTGGGCTCCAGCCAAGCCGACCTTGAGCAACCTCGTAATTGAGTCGAAGGGAAGCCCCTTCCCTTTGATCCCTCCCCCGGGGGGGGGGGGGGGGTGTCGACCCCCCCCCCGGGTCAGATACGACGCCCCCCCCTGGGACTCCTCTTCCCCTGGGCTCCAGCCAAGCCGACCTTGAGCAACCTCGTAATCTCTTGCTGCGCATTGCGAACAGGGTCGGCGGCACCGGCCGTCAGGCCTTCGCAATAGGGTCTGGATAAATCCCGCGGTGGGACCCAATCCCGCCAATTTATGACGTGTTCGGGTCGTCTTGAGATCATCTTAAAATCATCTCCAGGCCATTTTAAGATCATGGTGTTGTACTCTGGGAATGCTCCGGCCACCTCGGGTTCGCTCTGGGGCAACCGCTCCTGGTCTCCAGGGCATCGCTCACATCTTGGGCCACCTTGGATTCGCCCCCAGGCTATTTCGACGCTGCGTCTGGATCCTGCAGGGGCCACGGGGTCTTCTTGGGGTTGCCCCGAGGTCATCTTCGTGCCCGTCTGAGGCCGTCGTTGAACCATCTTGTGGACATGGGGCCGCCCAGGCATCCTGTCAGGGTCGTCTGGAGGTCTTCCGTGTTTCCTAGGAAAATTTCGTTACGCCTAAGTATTGGGGCCGTTGCTTAGCAGAGGTGGGCATCTCGGGGCGACAGGGGTAATCTCGCGATTCTTTCAAAAAATCCTGTTGGGTCCATCTTGGAATCATATTGCCGTTGCTGCCTCTCTCGTTGTTGTTGCTACAGATGTTGCTGCTACTGCTGGCGTTGATGCTGCTGGCGCTGCCTGGGCTGCCCGTGGTGCTGGTGCTGGTGTTGTGCTAAATTTCAGGCCCTCTTGGAGCCATCTTGGGGCTTCTACCAACAGTTGCGCTTCTACCAACGCTACGCCACTCATTTCTGGTTGAAATCGTTTATTTTTTGATTGGCGTTTTGTCGCCGAAAGCTTCGCCAGTAGAATGTCACTACTGAATCTTGGGGCCCTCTTGTGGCCTTCCTGGGCCTCTTGGGGCCCTGCGGGGGCCTTCTGAGGGCCCTTAAGTCGCCGCCGAGAGGGCCAAAAATTCAACGCACACTTAAAACAAACCGCCTCCTTATTGGAGAGCGTCTTGTGTTAAATTTGTGTCAGAAAATTTCTGGCCCTCTTGGAGCCATATTGGGGCCCCCTAGGGGCCCTCCTGGGCCTCTTAAGCCCCTGCGGGCTTGGAGAGGCCTCCAGGAGGACCAATAATTCAACACACACACACACATTTATGACAAACCGCCTCCTTATTGGAGAGCGCCTTGTGTTAAATGTATGGTGAATTTCGTGCCCTCTTTGAAAACCAACGAGTTCGCGCGAGCTTCGAGTGCAATTGTGCTGCTTCAAGACGGCTCCGAGACGGCCCCAGAGCGCTCCAAGACGCTCACAATGGCTTCAAGACGGCCAAAGACACCCTGCACACGCCCCCGGGGGCTCCAAGATGACCCCCTCGGGGGCTCCACGAGGCTAGAATCATGTTTTTTTGGGGGGGCTTTCTGGTGGATTTTAGCGTTATCGTTTTTTCTGGGTTCCAATACTCCAAGACGGCCCAAGAGGCCGCCAGGATATCGCCCCAAGACGGCCTAAGAGGCCACCGAAGAGGGCTCCAAGACGACCCAAGGTGGCACCGAGACGAGCCATGAGGCCCACAAAGCGGCCCACGAGGCCTCCAGGACGGCCCCAAGAGGGGACCCAGGGTGCCACTGGAACTCTTGTGAAGCGGCGTGGGGGCATTTGGAGAGCCTTCGCAAGTAGATGCGGCGCCAGAGTCACCATGTATCCGAACATTGTACGAATGCGTGCATGTCTGAGACGATCGCCGGGCCTCTTGGGAGCCCCTTTGGTGGCCTCTTGGGGCCTGCTGGGCGTTTCTTGGAGCCTGATAAAGGGACCTCTTGGGTGCCTCTTGAGGTATGTTGAGATTCTTGGGGGCTCCTTAGGGCGTCTTGGGGGGCCCTTTGGGGGCCTCTTGGGGGCCTGGGGCCCCAAGAGGGCCCCGAGAAGATTCCAAGAGGGTCCCGAAAAGTGTCCAGGTCCGCCGGAGATGCTGCAGCACCATTTCCGGGTGGCCCGGAGGCCTCTCGGGGCCTTCTTGGAGCTCTCTTGGGGTGCTCCAGGACGTCTTGGGCGCGCTCGAGGAGCCCCAAGAGGGCCACGAGAAAACTCCGAAGAAGGTCCCGAAAAGTTTCCGTGCCACCTGGAGATGCTGCAGCACCATCTCCGGGTGACCCGGAGACCTCTCGGGGCCCTCTTGGAGCTTTCTTGGGGGCTCCAAGACGGAGGGCGGGAGGGTGGGGGGGACTGCTGGAGATGCGGACGCGGAGGAGGGGGCGGCTTCTGGTGGCCTGACGGGGGCCTCTCGGGCGCTTTTTGAGGTCAGTTGGGGTTTCTTGGGGGCCTGTCGGGGCCTCCTGGGGGTCCTGTGGAACCCTTGAGGCGTCTTGGAAGCTTCTCGGGGTTGTCTTGGTACTTTCTTGGGGGCCGAGAAGCGATGTTGTTGTTGCTGTTGCTGCTGCTGTTGTTGTTATTGTTGCTGCTGCTGTTGTTGTAGTTGTTGCATGTGTAGTTGTAGTTGTAGTCGTAGCTGTAGTTGTTGCTGCTGTTATCGTCGTTGTTGTCGTTTGTTGTAGTTGTTGTTGTTGTTGTTGTTGTTGCTGTTGCTGTTGCTGTTGCTGTTGCTGTTGCTACTGCTGCTGCTGCTGTTGTCGTGGTTGCTGTTGTTGCTGCAGTTTGTGTTGTTATTATTATTATTATTATTCTTATTCTTATTATTATTATTATTATTGTTGTTGTTGTTGTTGTTGTTGTTGAACATTATTTATTCTAAAGAATAATGATTGTTGGGACCCCTGGTGCGCGGCCCCCTCGCCGCGCCTAGGCCGCAGCCACATTTTCATCATTTTCGTGAGGAAGTCTCAGGCAAAACGTGGGTGTCCGGATCCGGTTGTTTTGTTGTCCCCCGTT